CCCCCTAAGGATTCAAAACAAAGGACCCCCCCCCCCCAGTATGAACCCATTACTACATTGGGGAAACTAGGGGATTATTAGGGGGTTCCATGTTTTGGATCCTCTAGGGGGTCTGGGTACATGAAGAATGCTTTGGGCTTAGGATTTAGGGTTGTATAGGCTTTATAGGGTTTAGGCTTTAGGATTTAGCTTTAATTTCTTTATAGGGTGTAGGCTTTGGGATGTAGGGTTTGTAGGCTTTATGGGCTTTAGGGTTTACGGTTTCCTCTTCCTTTGCATTATCAGGCTATTGCTCTTGGCTTCTTAGCCTACCAAGGTGGAACAGTTTGTGGCATTCTCAAAAATGGGGGGCCCATTAAACTACTATATTCCTCCATGTGGGCAGTTCCCAAAAGTAGGGTCCCATTTTGGTCCCCCTAAATACTTGGTGCCGTAATTATGATAATCTATAACAAAAACGCCCATGTTTTTTGGAACTACCCATGTCGCAATACCCAAGTAGGAACCCATGTTTTTCGTGAACTCCCACGTAGAAACCCGTAAACCCTTTTGGATCTGGAACTGCCCTAAACCCTAAACCCTAATCCTTAAACCAACATCTAGGCAGCCATGGGGCTTGTTAAAGCCGCGGAAGAAGTCCCTCATCTCCTCCCGACGAATAATGCCGTCCTGCAAGCACGCAAACGGATTACGGTCTAGGGTTCAGGGTTTAGGGTTTACTTAGGGCTTGAGTTTAGGGCTTAGGATTTAGGGCAGTTCAGGAAGTTACCTTTCTATGGAACGCATGGCATTTGCTATATCCATTTTTTGACAACTTGTACAAATTCCTGAAGAGCAACCCCGTGAAGCAGGGTTCATACTTTCGTTCTGAGGTGCCAAAGGAATCTGTACGTGCCTGCATTGATTCCTTCTGCTTCAGGCAGAGCGTACGCCGACCCTACCTTTGAGCCGGAAAATAACCCGAAACCCTACAAACCCTATAAACCATATGAACCCTCCAACCTAAACCCTACAAGCGGAGTTGTGGTTTAGCTGTCCTTCTGCAGGTCAAGCGAGCGAAGAGCATCGCGGGGCCGCCTGTAGCTCATGCGGACCTTGTAGCCTATGTCCTGAGACGTGGGTTAGAGTTTAGGGTTTAGGGTTTAGGGTTTGGGGTTTAGGGTTTAAGGGTTTAGGGTTTTGTTTTTAGGGTTTAAGTTGCAAGGTTTAAGGGTTTAGGGTTTGGGGTTTAGGGTTTGAGTTTTAGGGTTTAGGGTTTAGGGCTTAGGGTTGGGGTTTAGAGGTCAGGGCTTTAGGGCTTAGGGCTGCACCACATTTTGGGGGGGTTTATGATGCCCTAACACCACAAACTACTCTGAAAATGTATCTTCTCTTAAGCTCGTCCGTGTCAAACGCAACCGCCCGAACCCCAATAGTATGTAGAACAGTGGCCTTTTGGGCTGTATTTAGGTGTTCGGGGGCTATCATTTTACCCAGGCGAGCGTCTCGCATGACCTCCCGGAGCTCTTTCAGGAGCTTGGCATCTACAGACCGCTTGAAGCTGAACAGCGTCTCCTGGTTTTTGGATTGGCTTAGGGCTTAGGCTTTACGATTTGGGGTTTAGGGTTTAGGATTTGGGGTTTAGGATTTGGGGTTTAGGTTTTAGGAGGCGTCATATGTGATACAGTCAATATGTCCTACAGTACATAGCTCGATGGACATGGGCTGCTTATTCGGGGCTATACTATACCAAATTACGGACTGTACTAAACTACAAGAGGGACCCCTATGTCCACCCTTAATGGTCCCATCTACAAGATGCCTAATATTGACAATGGCCTGAAACCTTAAACCCTAATCCCCAAACCATTAAGGGTCCCTGAGTAAGGCTAGTATCGACAATAGATCATGTGGGAATTTCGCAAAATAGGGGCCCTTGTGAACTCTTGGGGCACCAGGGCTCCGGGCAGGTGACCTGGTCTCGAGGCAGTATCATGTTTACGGCTAAAGAATTAGGGGGTTGGCTCAATGTTTGGGGTTTCTGATCTAGTGCTTAGGTTCTGGGTTGCTTATTCTCCTGACATGTCCCTGCCCCACAAACAAGAAACTCCGTCTGAACCGCACGGCTCAAGATCTCTGGTGGAGCCATAGAAAGCTCTGCTGCCTCCGTAATACATGGGCCTGATTTGTTCGAGCGACTTTACAAGCTCTGAAGCCTAAACCCTTACGCCTAAACAAAATGCCCGGAAGCCCACGACCCCAGAATTCCGTTTATCCTGGTCCACCCCCTCCGAGTCAAACAAAGGGTAGCTTCCGTAGTAACAGGGCGCCCCAACACTAAACTCTTACCCTAAACCCTAACACCCCCGCAAGAAGGACACCCTTGATTTCAATTTCTCCTCTGCTGGCTGATAAAATCTTCTAGGAGCTGGCCTCGGTGGATGCTGGATTTAGGGGTTATTCGGTTCAGGAGTGGTTTAGGGTTTAGGAGTTTAGCGTTTAGAGCTTAGATGTATTGACCCTAAACCCTACTAAACCCTAAACCCACGAAACCCTAAACCGGTTCAGTGATTGAGTCAGACTGTTGTATCAACTCATTGGCTCCTATGTAGCTCCTCTTGGGTTAGTTGGGGCTCCCATAAAAAGTAATTATCTTAATCTTATACCACGCCAAAAGGAACTACATAGGAGCGATACCATAGGGTTTAAGGCGCGGCCTTAACGGGCTTGCAGGATTACCACCTACCCCAATATCACCCCGGGACCGAAACCCTAAATTCTAAACCGTAGTCCCACTTCTACCCCAAACCTACGCCTGCCCCAAACCCAAAACCCTCATCCTACACTACAACCCCAATCCCTATATCCTAAATCCTAAGCCATAAGCCCTGAATCCTAAATCCTAAGCCCTGAACATTACATCCTAAACCCAAAACCTCCGCTTCACCTCGCTGAGGCCGAAACTCCTCAACAGGATCCTCCTCCACATGGGCGCTCGGTCGCGAAAGCTCCGGTTTCCTGGGAATCCTGCGTCGGGGCAACCCGGGGCTTCAAAAAGCTTAAGTCTAGGGTCATCGGGTTTCAGGGTTTTACTGGTGTTTTAGGGTTTGGTTTAGAGGGAACTCCTCCGGCTCAGGGCTTGGGGGTTCGGAGAATCAAGGGGAAAAAGCGGGAAATCTCCAAGTTCCCTGGAACCCTATTCTACCCTGAGCTGGTTCCTTATCATAAGTGCCCCCAAACAGGCATCCAAATTTCGGAAACCCCATAGGTAGATGTCTTAGGGCTTAGGGCTTGGGACACGCTTGCATTCTGGTGTATGGCTTGAGAGATGGCGTTGGGCGTAATTTATGAAGTATTCGTTCTTTCGCAGATCCGGCCTGATGGGAGTAGAGGCCAGGGCTGTAGGGCTTAGGGTTTATGCTTTAGGGTTTATGGTTTAAAATTTAGGGTTTAAGGTTTATGAGCTTCGCTTCTGGGAGAAATGGAGGAGGGTGGTTTGGTAGACGGTTGAAGAAAGCAGGTTCATCCAAATGATTTCGGGGCTTCCTCCAGGATATGAATACTGACCAAGTTAGGGCGAAAATTCATGGGTTCAAGTCGGGGCTTTGGGACCTTCTGGGCAAAGAAGAGCCGTCGTCCTCGGTGTCTTCTGCTGGCTGACAGAAATAACATTTTGCTCATGCGTTCTCGCCACCCTCCTTACAGAACTTTCAGGTTTAAATGTTCAAGATGAAGCTAAAGATAATAAAGGGCCTCGCCCCTGTAAGAAGGTCTGGGCACCCTTTTCTCAATATTCAGATTTCACCAGGAGATCCCAAAATCAAAAAGGGAAAAAGGGTGCTACTGGGGTATCTCGGCTTAAGCCCAAAATCCCCAACCCTAAATCCTAAACCCTACATCCTTAAACCTGAACCCTGAATCCCAACCCCTAATACTCCACAAATTACTAGTGTAACTCCGTATCTGGGTTACCACTACGATGAACAGGCCGCTGGTCTTATCAGCGGTTTAGGGTTTAGGTCTTAGGGGTTTAGGGCTTGGGAGCTCAGGGGATTAGGGGTTCAGGAGTTCGTGCATTTAGGAAGCTGAGGGTGAAAGATGCCAAGCTCAAACAGCCCATTGTGTGTGGGGTTTAGGGTTCAGAGGTTTGGTACTAGGGTTTAGGGGTCTACGGGTTTAGGGTTCAGAGGTCTGGTATTTAGGGTTTAGGCGTCTAGGGGTTTAGGGTTCAGGGGCTTCCGACTACTCAAAGGATGAAATCTGGATCCCAATATCGCATCCAACAATACTGTATGTAGCCCCAAATCACCCTAAAAGAAAATTCTGTCCCGCTGCCCAAACCCTGAGGTTCAACGGTTCAACCAAAGGGTCCGACCCAACATCGCTTGCATTACCAGCCCTTGTGCGCCTAAACGCGCCGTAGTCGGGCTCACGGACAAAGCAGTCATCAAGCACCTGGGGGCTTAGCGGTTTAGTGTTTCGGGTTTGAGGGTCATGGCTTAACACCACCCCCAAAGAAAAGAACCTGCAGCCCTGTGCAGGGTTCAGTTTGGATTACAGATCAGGAGATCTATCTCCCTCTCTCCCCTGCGTACTCTGTCCAGCTGCGTGGCTGAGGTAGTAACTACAAGAAGAGACTTTAAGAATAATCTTGCCTAGTTGTAACTTGGGTTGCTCCCGACAATGCCAAGCAAGGCGCTGCTGTGAAGTTGGCATGCGTCACCTCCCCCGAGCCGACCTGGGCAGAAAGGATTTTCTGAACTTTTAGTAGTGGACAGCGTCCTGGAGTCGCGAGAAAGGAAATGTTAGCCCATCTATGCTAGTAATCTGGGTTGCTGTTAAGGAACTTAAATTAAGTTACTATCTTGGGAAACCCTATTATTTACTACATATACTCATTATGGTAACTTAATTTAAGTTCCTTAACAGCAACGCAGTAATGCTGGTAGTAACAGTGAAAGGCGATGGGATGATACAAGCCGATTCTACTTGATGCTGTTCCTACCCGGGTCGGAGGCCTATGTGGTCTTCAAAACATCGCGGGTCCTTGAATTTGAGGTGCCTGTGGGGGGGGGGGGAACGGATTAACCCTCTGATCCCTAGAGCACACACCAACTGTAACAGTGGTATAATATCATTATAAGATCGCCTTAGTAACATCAGTATTATCCCTTATGTAGTCACTGTTGCAGGTCGGGGGGTCTACCTAAAAAATCGTGGCTAAGGGAAACTTCCCGCCTTACATAGCTTTGGGGCTGGACAGGGCCCCGGGTTGCTGGGTTGCTGCTTATTTGAGAAGTTTACGTCCAGCCCTTTCGGTTTAGGGTTGGGGGCCCTGACAAGGAAAACACAAAACCGGGGTAAGGGTTTAGGCACAAGGGGGTGATTCGGTAACCCCGACCCCCCTTCTACGGACGCTATAAGAGTGGATCATGGTAATCATCAGCAGGTCGTTCCTGTAGTGGTTGGGCTTACCAAGCCTCATCTCATGGAGCCAGGATATCATTGGGGTTTGGGGTGTACCCCTTACCCACTGAAATCCGCTTTAGCTCCCGGTTTTCACCCGCACTGGGATTTAAAATTACTAAACCACGAGTGATGTGGCGTGCTGCGGCCGGTCCAAATCGAGAAATATAGTATTATGTGTAGGGGTTCCTCCAAACCCTGAACCCTAGATCCCTAGACCCTTTACTCCTCAATTAAGGATCATTCGGGATTCACATAGGGCTCTACAGGGCTTAGAGGGATACCCTAAACCCTAAACCCAATAAGGATATATAGGACTTAGGGTATCAGCTTCTAGCCCACAATTTTGTTCTTAGATCATCTTAGGGGGCCACATATCATAAAAGGTACATTCCTGATTCTGAAGTATACTGCCCTCTCCGGGCTCTAGAAAGAGGTATGAGCTAATAGTTGCTCACTATTTTTTCGTACCAGCCTGCATGTTTTGTCACAATAGGTATATACGTATAAAAAGATATTCAACCAAAGTAGCATGCCAACTTCTTGAGAAAGTGTGCGCACAATGTGCAGGATCTTTGTGTTGACATCTCCGAATAAAAGAATATGTAGGAGGTCATGCGGAATCTCCAAGTAGCATCATAAGACGAGAGGGATAAGTTCATGTAAGCACCAACATCACCCCAGAATCACCCCAAAAGGAACCTTGTGTCAGTACCTAACTGGTCCACAACTGTTTTGCTATTCAAAATGATAAGGCGTCTTCCTCATTGGCTTTAAATACGATAACAAAGTCAACTGTGACCCAGTTGATGAGGAGTACTGGATATAGATTGGCCTTTTCGGACACTATGCAATCTCCGCTTGATATCCCCCCCACACACTCCTCTATCTACAACAGCTATACAAGGAAATAGGAAATGCTAGCAACTAAATCCTAGACCTTAAACCCTAGACCCTAAACCCTTATCCGCTAGCGGCCCATGGTCAGGGTCTTAGATGTTTCCGTTGCCAGCTACGGTAGCTCAAGCCATCTGAAACTGAAAGCTGCCTATTCACATACCAAAAAGAAGATTTAGGGTTCAGGGTTTAGGGTTTATGCTGAGGTACGAGGTACGAACTAACTTTGATCCCCAATAATCAAAGAGCACTTCCCCTTCTGAGAGTGCCCATTCAGTACAAGTTGATTCTTTCCGAGGGCTCCAAGTCTGGGTACGAACGCCAACGTTGTTGCAGTATCCGCTCAAGGTTGAATTCGACTAGACTGAAGAAGGCTGCAGGTGCTGGTGGGTTTAACTACCCATACTTTTGGGGGGAGCTAAGGAGCTAGGGATAGTCTATATCAATAGAATAAGGGGAGCTAAAGAGCGCAGGAATCTCCAAAACCATGGGGGAGTTAAGCATCTCTCAAATCACAAGTGGTCTCCAAAAGTACTTGAGCTTTTTTTTGCGCTTTGACCTTACCTCTGGCTGGCAAGAATGGGAGGATCGGATCCTTATAGTAGCCCCTTTAAAATCCCGATATAGAAGTTTCCATTGCCGGTTCCGTTCCTTCATCCCTGCTAACTTGACGGCCTAATGGTTTTGAATGACTAACTAACCCACCCTAGACGAGGGAAACTGCTAGGAGCTTTTGGAAGGTCCTTGGCGCCCATCTCGGCGATCCAGCCGCCACCCCAGATCCAGTGGCACAGCGGGACGTAGACGGCCAACACCCAGACGACAATGAAGACAGCATAGGCAGAGAAGCGGATGCGCTCCACCACCGCGCCGGAAATGATCGCTGCCGCAATGATCGCAAAGGTCATCTGGAACACAGCGAAAGTCATGCCTGGGCAGCAGTTGCTTCAAAACCAACTGTGACACTCAATGAATTACAACACTGCCTCCCAAACCCAAAGCCACCTTAAATCCCAAATCCCTAATCTTAACCGGGCCTGGCATTGTGGTGTCGGGCCACACCGCGTCCAGGTTGCGGAAGCCCACATAGGTGAAGCCCTTGCCAGCGCCCCACCTGGGTTGCTGTTAAGGAACGTAGCTAGGCTTTAGGGTGCGGGAACCATATTAATGAAAACACATACCCATCATGGCAACTTAATTCAAGTTCCTGAACAGCAGCCCAGCCACTCGTCGAACGACCAGGTGAAGCCGAAAATCAGCCAAGTGATGGTCGTCAGCCCCATGGAAATGATGCTCATCATCATCCTTGCCGAAAGGACGACTTATGGTTGACAGAGTTTCTGAGAGGGGCCCTCCAGGGACCCCAGGGCCATGTGGGGATTGTGAAAGGGTTGTAGGGGTGTCTATCAAGTAATGTATGGTGCTTCAACTGCCGGATGATATTTGGCTGACAACATGAAAAATCTGAATTAGCTTTTTAGGGTAGTCTATTACAACCAACAGTGACCTACAGTGTGGCTGGTTCTGCATAAGATTACAGAGAAGCCAAGGACATATTCATTCTGGAACATGTCGGTTGTTCTCAAATGGGCCCCTTTTAAAATCATAGATTCTATTACGGCACCTAGTATTCAGAGGTACCAAATTGGGACCCTAATTTCCCCCCCCCCCCCAACCCTATTTGCCCGCGCCAAATGCGCCCATCATAATGTGCTGTGTATTACAGTGTTTTGGTGGTTGTGGATGTGGTCGAAGTGAACGTTATTATGGGTGCCGGCATGCATTCACTTGTTGTGGATGTGGTCGAAGTGACCGTTATTATGGGTGCCGACATGCATTCGCTATGATC